AGAGAGGGAGTCACAGACTGGAACAGGCTCCAGGCTCTGAGCTGGCAGTCAGCACAGAGCCCGACGTGGGGCTCGAACCCACGAACCGCGAGATCATGACCTAAGCGAAAAGTCGGACGCTTAACCGACTAAGCCACCCAGGCGCCCCCACAATACATCATTGTTATTTCATATTGTGATGTGGTTCTAATGAGCGTTCCTTCGACACCTAGTTAATGAGGGCCTACTGCATGCCTGGCAGCGTTCCAGGCACTGGGGATACAGCACTGAATAAAGCAAACTCTTTTCACTTACGGAGCCCATATTCTGATGGAAGAGACAAATAATGAACAAGGAAGTAAAATAGACGGCATTTCCTACAGTAACACCAAGAGAAAAAAAACCATACCTATGACGCTTAAAACTTGTGGTTGGGAAAGAAAAGAGCAACAGATAGTTTTTATCCAAAGGACTTGGTGGCATGTAATGTCTTTCTTCAACAAAACCAATGCTAACAGTTATTTAGCTTGAAGTGTGGGGTTATTTACCACAAGTAATTTTGTTACTTTCTTTAAAATTTCTTTTTAAAAAATTTTAATGCTATTTATTTATTTATTTAAAAAAATTTTAATGTCTATTTATTTTTGAGAGGCAGAGACAGAGCATGAGTGGCAGACGGGGAGAGAGAGGGAGACACAGAACTCATAGCAGGCTCTAGGCTCTGCGCTGTCAGCACAGAGCCAGATGCAGGGCTCGAACCCACAAACTGTGAGATCATGATCTGAGCCGAAGTTGGACCTGTAACCAACTGAGCCACCCAGGCCCCAGTTTTTTATTTATTTTTGAGAAGGGGACAGAGAAAGACAGAGCATGAGTGAGGTAGGGGCAGAGAGTGAGGGACACACAAAATCTGAAGCAGGCTCCAGGCTCTCAGCTGTCAGCACAGAGCCTGATATGGGGCCTGACCTCATGAACCACGAGATGGTGACCTGAACTGAAGTTGGACGCTTAACTGACTAAGCCACCCAGATGCCCCTAAATTTCTTTTTTTAAATGTTTATTTTTGAAAGAGAGAGAAAGGGGAGGTGGGTGGAGGGGCAGAGAGATGGGGACAGAGGATCTGAAGTGGGCTCTGCGCTGACAGCAGTGAGCCCCATGAGGGGCTCAAACCCACACGAACCGTGTGATCATGCCAAAGTTGGACGTTCCCCGAGTGACAAATTACTTTCTAAAAGAATCTGCCACTTACATCTTTCCAGCAGTCTATGTGGGAGTGCTTATTTAACTGTTTCTTTCCTGAACCTGTACCTCATCTCCCTCAGTGGCGACTGAAAGTTTACTGGTCTCCTTTCATTCTTGTGTGAGTCTAAAAGAAAATTTCCAAGGGGCATGTGGCAGACCTGTTCGGCGACCTACCCAGACAATGGGAGGGAACTTTCTTTCCCCATCAGCCATAGTTCTGCAGTGGGAGAAAAGCACTGTGTTTCAATAATTCTCGCAAGAGGGCCTATGAAAGCCCACTTGGGTGTGGAGAAGCCTGTCTTCGGGGAGCTCAGTTCGTAAATCAGGGGAAGTAAATTGGAGGGGAGGTGGAGACTCACTGAGAACAGCCTCGTCTGTAAGCTGACATTTTGTCACATCCAGACCCAGATGAGAGCCAGCTTCTCCATCCTGCCGCCCCACCATATGACACAGAGTGATTTCTTGCCTCAGAGGAACAACGGTGAGGAGAGGGAGAGCCATGATATACTCGAGATCTTAAACCTTAGTGCGTCTGAAATTTGTCTTGCTGGTCCCAGAGAGCATCCCCACAGGCTGCAAGGCTCGCCTCTCTCGGGATGTGTGTGAGGGTTGTTTTCAATATTTCTTAACAGCCTCACCTACTGGGGACAGCTGACAGGTGGACATTCAAGGCACTTAAATGCTGAAGACAGATGCAGTGGTATTAGGTAGGGGGTTAAGCAGCTTGAGAATGAATGCCCAGGATTCAGACCCAACCTCGCACTGAGGTGCTGATCTGAGTGGATGCTGCCCCAAAAGCCTACAACTTTATGATTGTCCCGAGGGGGGCAGGGTCTGGCTGGGAGGTGGTTTTCAAGGAGAATTATGCTCCTTTCCCTGCACTGACTGGCATTTCTTTCAGCCAAATCTTCTTAAATCAAAAGTATACACACTGAATTTCCAAACCCTCCAGAAACCTCGAAGGGTAAGTTATAAAGTCAGAAAATGGATAGTCTCAAAAAGGATAGGAAAAAGTGTCCAATAATACACACTCAAAAAATTAGTGATAGATATCTTCTTTGAAGTGATACTTGGCTGGCAGATGCCCTTAAGTCTTTTTCAATTCTCTCTTTAACCTTCCAAATGTGAAACGTCCTTTAAAACAATAAGAGTAAATTGTTTGCTACCTTTCTGTGGGATTACTGCACCCACAGTGGTACAGGTCCCTGACCTCACACCAAATTCTGATCATCCTGAGGTCAATCTCAGCTACTGGCTTGAATTTTGGCTGACGGAGTATTGGATTTGCCTCCAGACGTTCATTTCACCCCCATTGCTCAAGTAAAAACAAGACACAGTTGTCAAATTCAGGCTAGAAACAGTATTTATTGAGAAAGGTGAGGACGCAAAAGATTCCGGTGTCCTTGGCCAAGTGATAGGCAATCTGGCGAAAGATTTGAGAATCTTCTGTCCAGAGCAAAGGGCCGAGATACTTTCCAGGGTGAGTCCGTCAGCTTCATGGGAATGGGGAGAAGATACAGAACCAGGGCAGGCCAAGCACTTGTGGGGGAAATTGTCAGAGGGATAAACTGGGCAGCTCACCGGCTGGTTCCCATGGCTTTGGTGAGCGTTGAAAATGAAAGTCTGAACTGACAGTGACTAATGATACAGCAAAGACAGCTACGAAGATGACTAAGTACGAAAGGGCTGTCGATTCCCATATTCTATTGAAATCTTGGAGAATGAGAGGGCCAGTCTGACTTCGAGAAGGTATTTCTCAGAAAGTAGTAACTATAGTAGGCCTTCAGAGAAAGCATAGCCGGAGACAACAGTAGCTCTTGGGGGTGGGGGTGGGGGTCTGGGTTTGGTATTCTGGCCAGTGTTCTTCCCGATGGGGCAGAGACGGAACCACCCACTTCGTCTGCTTGGCGAGCATGTGGGTGTCGACTGCTGTCCGCACCGTCTCATAGGGCCTTTATGGGACTGGAAAAAATCAGCCCCTCAGCCCCCTGGGCTGAGAGAACAGCTGGTCTCAGCAGACTGGTTTGGCGGCAGGGGTGGGAGAGAATTCAAAAGGCGCTGAGGTTCTGAGAGGGCTAAGGAAGGGGAGCCTGGGGAGCCTGGGGGTCCAGGCAGCGCGGGTCCGGGCGCCCCGCAGCGGGCGGAGACGGCGTGTCTGGGGAATCCCGAGCCCCCCTCCCCCCGCAGCGGGCCTCCCTCCCCCGCGGGCTCCCGGGCCGCCACCTCCACCAAGCGGGGGCAGCTACAGCACCGCCGAGCCACCTTTGGCCGTCCGGGCTCGCTCCCAGCCGCCGCCGGGGCTCCGGAACACCGAGCTGTCGTCCCTAGAGAGCGAGGACGCCGAGCTGCCCCTGCGCGCCGGGCGGTGGGCGCGCACGCAGACCCCGCGCCACGCCCGGGCGCGGAACGACCGGTCCAGCAGCAGGTAGATGAGCGGGTTGGCGCAGCTGTTGACGAAGGCCAGGCAGGTGGCGATGCTGAGGCCCCAGCGCAGCGCCAGCAGCAGGCCGCAGGGCAGCGGCAGCGCCCCCAGGCGCGCCAGGTGGAAGAGCGCCCGCAGGGCGCCGAAGGGCAGCCAGGAGCCCACGAACGCGCCCTCGACGGCGAAGATGATGCGCAGCGAGTTCCTCCGCGCCCGGCCCAGGTGCGGCGGCCTGCGCAGGCGGCAGGAGATGCGGCAGTAGCAGACCAGGGTGACGCCCAGGGGCAGCACGCAGGTGAGCAGCAGCAGCAGCAGGCTCAGGCCCTGGAAGGCGTCGGAGGGCTCCTCCCCGCACTGGCTGCCCCCGCCGGCGGGGAGCGGCTGCAGCCGCCGGTAGGCCAGGGAGGGCAGGCCGGCCAGGAGCGCCACGGCCCAGACGCCGCAGCAGACGGCCAGCGCGCAGCGCGGCGTGCGCAGCGGCCGCGCGTCCAGCAGCTTCACCACGGCCAGGTAGCGGTCCACGCTGAGGCCCGCCAGCAGCAGCGCGCCTGCGCAGCGCGTGCTGGCCAGCGCGAAGCCGCTGAGCTTGCAGAGGCCGTCGCCGAAGAGCCAGCGGCCGCCGCCCGCCGCCGCCGCCGCCCACAGCGGCAGCGTGAGCACGAAGCCCAGGTCGGCGGCGGCCAGGTGCAGCACGAAGGTGTCCACGAGGCGCCGCGGGCCGCGCCGCCGGGCCAGCAGCCACACCACGAAGGCGTTGCCCAGCAGGCCCACCACGAAGGCCGCCAGGTAGAGCGCGGGGATGTAGGCGTAGCCGTAGGGCAGGTCCGGGGCCGGGCACGGCTCCAGCTCCTCCAGGTCGCCGGAGCCCGAGTAGTCCCAGGCCGTCGTGCCGGGGCTGGGGCTCCTGGGCTTGGTGGGGTGCATGGCCGCGGCCGCCGGGCCTGTGCCGGACGCAGCCTGGGTGCGGGCTGCGGGAGCTCCCCGTGAGAGGTGGGGGGTGGCTCTTCGCTGCCGGTACCAGCACCTCCCTTCCTGCCACCCTAGACCCAGGCAAATGCGTGGGCAGGAAGGTGGGGGAGGAGGGGGTGGGGTGGGAGGGGCAGGCTCCTGGGGGTAGAGGCCTACGGTTTGGGGCTGGTCCCAGGGGAAAGACAGGGACCTGGTAGAAGGGGCGTCCTGGCTGGATCCTCCGAGGAAAAGGCCTCGGGGCTGATGTCTAGTGGGTGCCCAGCAGCCTTCATCCCTTCTCACCCCTATTTCGCTCCTTCCCCTGCTCCGTGCAGCTGTTTTCTCTAGTTTTATTAGGGTCAAGGGCATAGAAGTCCAGCTGAGGGTTTTGTAAGGCTGGGGCCTCAGCCTGCTGCGGGTCCACCTGTCCTCCCGGAAAGAGGGGTTCTGCTATCTAGTGGCCAGTGGGGTCGGGGTGAACTGGGGAGCCTGTGGCTTCGGGCCTACCTCCTAACCAGGCATTGGCCGTCAGAGAGCTTCAGCCGTTGTGCAACTCCTGGGGAGCCAAGCTAATTGTCTTAACTCAAACAGCGGCTTTTCTGACCAAATCAAGTCTTCTTGGAGCCACGTGGGAAGGTTTTACGCTAGAGAGGGAGAGCTAACCAGCTCGATTGGAGCAGAGCCTGGGATTGCAGTCCCAGCCCTTCTCCATCTGCCCTCATCTGGCAAAACCTACCTATTAAGGCAGACACAGAAGTAAGCTCAGTACAAAGAATGACTCCAATGGTACCCAATTTAGCAACAGATTAGTTGTCTTCAGTTAGGAGTCAGGAGTTTAGAGGAAGATGAAATCCCTTAAGTACTGAGGGAGTCAGGGGAAGATTCCTGAAAGGGTAGGAATGATGCCTGACTTTGAAAGGAATGGTGGCCCCAGAGGAGAGGATGGGTGAGAAGGTTCACCCTTTCTCCAGAAGGTGCCCTTTCTTCTCCCCGTTTTGTTTTGTTGATGATTTCCTTGGTTGTGCAGAAGCCTTTTATCATGGTGTACGCTTCCTACATCAGGGGTTTGCGGCAACTCCAGTTAGGTCCGGATCCTTTTTTTATCTTTTTTAAAAAAAAATTCTATTAGTGAAGTATAGTTGACATACAGTATTAGTTTCCAGTGTACAACAGAGTGATTTGGCAATTACATAGTGCTCACCACAAGTGTAGTTATCATTGTTACTGTATTACTGACTACATTCCCTGTGCTGTAGTTTTCATGCCTGTGACTTGTTTTATTACTGGAAGTTTGTACTTCTTACTACCTAATATGCCACCCTCCAACCTTCCTCCTCTTCTGCGACCATGGGTTCTCTGTATTTGTGAGTCTATTTCTGTTGTTTATTCTTTTTTTTTTTTTTTTTTAGATCCCATATGTAAGTGAAATCAAATGGCATTTGCTTTTCTCTGAATATTTCACTTGGCAGGATCTTAGTCTTTTTTATGGCTGATTAATATTTCATTACATACAATGAGAGTATATATATAAATTCGTGTGTGTGTGTGTGTGTACATTTGTTGATTTGTCTATCAATAGAGACAACTTGCTTCCATATCTGGACTATTGTAAATAATGCTGTAATGAACATAGGAGTGTAAGTATCTTTTTGAATTAGTGTTTTCATTTTTTCTGGGTAGATACCCAAATGTGTGATATTTGTTTTTATTGAGGACCCACCGTACTGTTTCCACAGTGGCTGCACCGGTTTGCATTCCCACCAGCAGTGCAGAGGCTCCCTTTCCTCCACATCCTCGCCAACACTTGTCATTTCTTGTCTTTTTGGTATTAGCCGTTCTGACTGGTGTGAGGTGATCTCTCATTGTGTTTTTGATTTGCAGTTCCTTGATGATTAGTGATATTGAGTATCTTTTCATGTGTGTTAGCCATCTGTATGTCTTCTTTAGAAAAGTGTTTGCTCAGATCCTCTGCCCGTTTTTAAAATTGGATTATTAGAAGGAACTTAACGGAGGAGCATGGGGGAGGAGAAGTGGAAAAATAGTTGGGGAGAGGGAGGAAAGCAAACCATGAGAGACTCTTGAATGCCTAGAACAGACTGAGGGCTAAGGGGCGGGGGAGGGGAAGGGGGGTGATGGGCATGGAGGAGGGCACTTGGGATGAGCACTGGGTGTTATATGGAAACCAACTTGACAATAAACTATTTAAAAAAATAATAAAAATAAAATGGGATGATAATCCTAAAAAAATAAAATTGGATTATTTTTGCTTTTGGGTGTTGAGCTGCATTAAGTTCTTTATGTATATTGGGTGTTAACTCCATATCAGATATATCATTTGCAAATATCTTCTCCCATTTGGTAGGTTGCTTTTTCATTTTGTTGATGGCTTCCTTTGCTGCGCAAAGGCTCTTTATTGTGGCGTGGTCCTGCTTGTTTATCTTTGCTTTTGTTCTGTGTCCGAATTCTTCTCAGCAGACGTCCCTCCCACAAGATGCTCTGCTGGAACCCGTGTTTCAGATTGTGTGCCCTCCAGACCCCACCACACTGTCACCAGGAATGAATGACTGACCTCTTTGGCACCCTGGTGTAAAAAATTTGAGGTGGATTATCAATTTTATTTGATTCAGTTCACTTAACAGTGAGCTCCTTCATGTGGCAGACACTGTTTCAGGCATTGAGAGAGAGACGCCACCTGGACCTTAGAAGTTCATTGTTTAGGCAGGGGAGATGGATACATACGCAGTATGGGCAGTGGCCAACATGCCAGAGGTCAAACTGATAAATGTGAAAAGCAAAGTTCTCTTCGAGGTTAGAGAACAGTTACTTCTGATGGGAAGGGAACATCAGAAGAGGCCTCCCAGGAGATGGCCCTTGAATTTAGGTCCAGGAAAGAGCTGAAGGGTGCATGGGCCCGGGGTGACCAGAGCCCAGGGTGTGAGGAGGGCGGCAGGAGAGGAAGCAGGGAGCACATCACAGGGCGATCTTGATTTCATTCTGTGGGTAGTGGAGAGCCTCTGGGCCTTCTTGAGTAGGGCATGGCATCTGTCTGTTTTGAAAGGGTCACTGGCAGAACTATGGATTGGACAGGGTAGAGGCTCAGGCCAAGGGGACCCCAGAGTGGACTGTTATAATTATTTGCGTGGGAATAGTGAGCATCTGAAATAGGTTACTGGCAGCGGGGATAGAAAAGCGAGGATCTATTCAAGAGACCTTTGTAACATCCTGGGTCTCAGCAGAGAGGAGTCAAAATATGGGCCTGGGGTGGCTGTGTTTGGAAACTGTATGAATGCCATTCATTGGGCCTGGGAACACAGAGAGGCTTGTGTGTGTATGTATTCTGTTTCTTGTTCATTTGAGGCCGGGCGATGAAATAATGTATGATCTAAACCAGGGCACTTCTGAGAGTGAAAGAGGATCTATGATAAATAACTCAGGCCACAAACCAGGATTGTTCTGGGCACACGGACATACGGTCACCCTAGCTCGAGGTCCTGTGGTCCATGGGGATGCCCAGGGAGGGAAAGCTTAAGGAGAGTCAGGCATGTCTGTGTCCAGGCTATTCTTGTCAAGACTGCTTCTCCCCAGCCAATTAGAAGGGGGGGAAAGGCACACTGCAGAAGAGAAGAGGCCAGGGAATCAGTCACTGGTTTCTGTCCCGTCACTCCATGGGCCTCCAAACCTCAGGCTGGAGTTTCCTCTGAAGACCACCCAGAGAGGGTGCAAAGCTGTGGGCGGCTGGTGATTCAGAGCAGTTTTTCTAATGTCTGGTCACGTGGTTGCTGGTGAGTGACACCTAGGCTGGATGGCCTAGGGGGCTGCAGCCTCCTTCCCTGGAAGGCTGGCAAGGGCAGTGCTCACTTGCCTGAGCCCGGAGACTATCAGGGACAGGCCCAGCGCTGTTGGACTTCACCTCCCCTTGGGCACCGTCAGTCTAGGGCAGAGAGAGCATGAGTGATCGTGAAAGCTAGAGATGAGTGCACCAGGAAACCGCCAGGTGACAAAGAAGAATGGGGCAGGGGACTGAGAGGGAAGCATAGGCAGGGGGTTGAGGGGGAAGGAGAAGTAGGTTGTTTATTAAAAACACAGCAATTCTTGCTTCCTGGGCCTGTGGTCTCATCGCCAGGGGAAGTCTGTGGCCCAGAGCATGTGGTGGATTCTCTGGGCTATGGCCAAGTCCTGAGGGCCTTTGTGGACCCTTCTGGATGGGAGGAGGCATCGAAGGCTGGGTAGATGTCTATCCAGCTTTCAGTGACCAGGTCAACTCCACAATATTGCTGTCCTTTCTCCTCTGGGGGACTCCCCACAGGATTAGAAACAAGTCAGTGAATAGAATATTCATCCTGCTCAGCTAAGAATCTTGGCCAGTCTCTGACAGGTGTCAATAAAGCAAAGCAGCAGTGGTCTTTCCCTCTTTCTGTCTCGCCCTTGGGAGCCTTTTCTGGCCTCCGTCCCTTACGGGCCTTCCTCTCTCTGGACCGACTTTGTTCTGCCCACAGAGCTTGTCTCTGTCCATCACCATGATGGGTACCAGCCTGAGAACAACGTACCTAATACCCAACGCTTTGAACTAGGTTACTTTCAAGGGTAGGTTTCTTTTATTTCTGCCCCTTTATGAGCTATATATGTAAGCTCTTACAGCTTTTCCCCTCAATTTTAATTTTTCTATACACAGAGTTTTAACCTTTAGGAAACATTTTGAACGTTGCATTTGCCTTTTTCATGATAAAAGTGTAACTAGATTGCGGAATATAAAATGAGCCAAACCCACTCTGTCCTGGTGCTGCATTTTGGTGAATTTCTTTCCGATCAGAGAAGGAGATAATTTATTTGTAATCCCATATTCTTGGATTTTATTTTTTTTCCATTCCATTTCAGATCTTCTCCACATTTTTTTTTTTTTTAACACAGCTCTTTCGGAGTCATTTGTAATTAGAATGTACATACTTTTATAGTATGCTTTTTTTTTTCAATTAATGCCATATAAATCCACATTTTTCTAGTCTGCTTCATATACTTGGATTTTGAACATTTTGGATTTTTCTAGTGTTGTTTTTACTGTTACAGAGATTTGTAACAAATAGTTGCCCTTAGGAACTTTTTCTTTCACATTGTTTTCATAGTATAAGGTCAAAGGCTGTGAAAAATGGTTTGATAGATGCTTATAGTGATGACTAATAGTATGGCATTGTATGAGGGTACCGGCTTCAGCACAGCGCTGTCAGAAATATTTATTCATTAGTAAAATACACTTTTTCCACTTTAATAGGTATTGAGGTAAAAGTGGTTCCTCATTTTATTTTACATTTATTTGAATGTAAATAAGATTGAAAGTCTTTCTCTACTTAATTCCTCTTATGTGAACTGTCTAATCATGTCCTTTATACATTTATCTATTATCTTACATATTTTTTATTTATATGAACTACTTAGAGTTAAGCATTGTCCCATTTAATTCCAATATGTTCCCAGACTTTTTTCTTAGCTCTTTTTCATTTTTTTTAGTTTTACATTTCCATATAGTCAAACTTGTAGCTCTTAGCAACTTCAGAGTTCAATATGTTACTTTTTCTTTGATCTAAAACATTCAGTTGTATTCTTGTTAAAAATAATTTTCTAGGGGTGCCTGGGTGGCTCAGTCAGTTAAGTGTCCGACTTCGGCTTAGGTCATGATCTCACCATTTGTGGGTTCGAGCCCCGCATTGGGCTCTGTGCTGGCAGCTAGCTCAGAGCCTGGAGCCTGCTTCACATTCTGTATCTCCCTCTCTCTTTAACCCTCCTCTGCTCATGCTGCCTCTCTCTCTCTCTCTCTCTCTCTCTCTCAGAAATAAGTATAACATTAAAAATTTTTTTTAAAAATAATTTTCTAGCGCTTTTTAATCTACCTGAAGTTTAATTTTTTAAAAGATTTTTGTCCAATTTTCCCAACACTATTCAATTAATATTTTTTAAAGCCTTGCTCTCTGTGTTGTGATGTCGAATTTATTAAATACATATCTTATATATCATCGTGTCTGCTTGTGGTCAGGGAACAAACAACAGGCCAGATTACTAGTAGCGCGAGTCTGGCTTCTGTATCACTTTATAACTTGACAGTGGTGCGATCCTGGGCTCCAGTTTCTACATCTTCAAATGGCTGTGATTATATGTACCTGATTGGGTGTCATGAAGATCATGTTGGCCCCATCTGAGCAGGGTCTGAGCAGGCATTTGGTAGTCTCCCCCCCCCCCCCAGGGCACCACGCTCCAGCCTGCACTGCATCACTTAAGGCTCCCCTTGTTTCCACCTGTCTTGATGGCAGACCCACTCCTCGCGCCGCTTCTCCCCTCCAGGACATGGTACTTTCTTTGCACACAGTGAGTGATCAGCAAATAGTTTTGGAGTTGCGCTAGGAATCCAGAAGGAGATAATCCCCTTGGGGGGAGGGTGGCTTCAAGTCTCAGACAACCAGAGTTCCCTGGACCTGGTGTCACCGATGATGAATTTCACAGAGTGACAGAGTGCTGCAGACAAACTGCCGACAGGCCCAGAGCACGGGCAGGTAGCATTACCCCAGTTCAGTTGCGGCTGACAGGGAGCTTAACGGCGCTGGAGTCCTGAGTGGGAGGAGAACCTTGAAAGCCATGTCTCCTGTGCGTCCACACCCTCTCTTGATGAGTTACTGAACTGGGAGTGGGGAGTCCTCTATTTGATTCACTATTCCTGACTGGTTGCCAAGATGAGGTTTCCCACAGACCGCATCCCCGAGCCCCAGAGGAGAGCGTGTGTGTATGTGCGTGTGTGGCTGGGTAGTAGGTGAGAGAGGGCAAGGACAGTTCTTGCCCCTGCCCTGCAGCCTCACCCCTGAGGGAAGGCGGGTGCACACCAGGGAAGGGCCCCCACCCTGGATGCCAGAGGCCACGCAGAATGTTTCAGATGTTTATTTCCGAAACTTTCAAGGTACTAAATATGGGGTGGCCGGGAAAGGACAGCGTCTGAGTTAGACATGAGTGTTTGGGCTTCAGCTCATGCTGCTGAGGGGTGACTCAGTGTGAAAGCCTCGTGGCCCACAGCTGTGTAATGGTCTCTGGCCTGATCTCCTCCAGACTTCATTGTGGGCCCTTAGGAGGTCTGGGGGAGGAGTTAGGATGGAAGCGGAGGGTGAGGGGAAGAGTGTGGCTTTCAAGGAATGCAAGGCTCCCATCGGCCCTCCCCTGCAGGTCTCCACAGCTCAAAGGTTCTTTTCAAGGCAGAAAACAAACCCATCAGAGACTTCAAAGACAAGCAGCAGGGAAGTCCCTCAATATAAAAATGGACCCAGAATTTGTTTGGAAAGGAAGTAACATTTTCTCTTTGTAATGATTCTGCCCACAGAAGCTTCTAAACTAGGACTCCTCAGTAACTTTTCAGTGATTTCACAGAAAGCTGGCGTGGGAAAGTGAGTGTGCATTTCCAGTTATTTGCAGGAGGAATTCGGCAGTGTTCCCTGTGCCTCCAGTAGGACTCCCCCCAGCAGTGCTGTGATTTCTGCCACTGACCAGGAAAGCCAGTTTCTAGGGTCACCTCCACTTCAGACTGACTGTCAACCGTCCCTTCCTACCATGGGGCAAGCACCTTTTTTTAATTTTTAAAAATTTATTTATTTTGAAAGAGAGAGAATCCCAAGCAGGCTCCAGTGTCAGCGCAGAGCCCGATGTGGGGCTCCAACCTACGAACTGCCAGACCATGACCTGAGCCAAAATCAAGAGTTGGCCATTTCACTGACTGAGCCACCCAGGCGCCCCAAGCACTCTGTCAGGTAATATTATGGACACAAAGAAAATTATGTCACGGTGCTTCCTTTCAAGCAGCTCACACACTATTAGAGAAAATGACCTATAATATACACATATCTTTGACATGAGGCCGACTGTGATATCCTGCCTTATATCAAGGTCACAGCAGGTCAGCCTCTCTGAAGAGGTCTGTGTACAGGAAGGAGCAACATGAAAAACAGGGGTGAGACCTTCAGTGGTCCCAAGTGCTGAAAGGATACAAATCACAACACCCCAGCCCCTTCCTCTCTCATCCCAATCACTATTATTTCTCATGAGTACTTTGATATCTTATCTTGAAATGTCAGTTTTTTCCTGAGTTTTGGTATGCCTATTGGGTATTTGACTATCAGATATTGTGATGTTGCTGAAAAGCCAAGTTGGGGCAAGCCTGTGAGGGCTTTAAATGCTGATCTCAGGAGTCTGAGGTTTATACCGTGATGATAAGGCCCTGTGGGAGTTTTTGAGTGGTGGGGCTGACGAGGTAAAAGCAGTGTTTTAGGAAAATGGAGTAGCAGTTGGCAGGACGTGTTTGTGGGCAACAGTGGAATTACAGAAGGACTACTTGGATGCTCTTGCAGAGTTTAGGTGCCCGGACACGAAACTGGTGGCAGTGAAGATAAAGAACAGATTAGAAGTGTGAGGACTGATGGGATTTGGTGGTTGTCCAGGCATGAGGCGCCTTCCATGTGGGAAAGAGGAGGGAGTAAGAGAAGAGGTGAAAGGTTTCAGCCATGGTGGCTAGATCTGTGCCAGGAAGGAGTTGGTTTTACTGGGAGGTTGATACTGGTTTTGTGAGGTTAAGTTGAGGACAGTGGAACGTCCAGCTGAAAGGCGGAGATGGAGGTTAGATGCATGGGTGGGGCCACAGGGAGCTTCCGGAAGATGGTGATCGTGTGCAGAGGTGTTGGCGGAGTTGATACTGAAGGCCTTCTTGGACGGAGGCTAGCAGGGATGAGCAGGGCATGAAGGAGAACTGAGCCATAGTTCG